GTCACCTTTTTTTATTATGTTTACTTCATCATTCCACACTTTGTACCGCTTATTATCATTTATCTCTTTGTTCTTACTATTGTCATTATTCTAACAACTGAATTTTACTTTAATTTTTTTTTACCTACACTACTTATGTTTCTCATACCTTGTTATATGGTTCTTTTCTTAGCCCTGATGATGGCCTGAATTTGAGGTTGAAACGTCAATTATTAGTCAATTTGACTAATGTCAAAATAAATAGTATAATTTATTTTTGCCTTCTTATTTGACTGATCACCCCAACTATTCTTCTCTTCATTTTTCTATTTCTATTTCCAATCTATTGCTATGTTTTGGGGTGTTTAATTTTATTCGGGATGCCACTGGATAATTATTGATGATAATTACCCAGAAATGTTTAATAAAAAATTAGTAAAATAAATTTGGATCTATAAATATTGATTGGTCCAGAATTAATTAATTGAATTTCTTTTCTCAAAGGCTGGTTTGTGTTTACCATGCTTTCTAATTACACACATTACCTGTGATCATAATGATATAAATAGGTGGCAGAATTAAAATAACTTTTACTAAAAACTTAATTTATTTCTATGTTTAATAAAGAATATATACAGATTATATTTACTAGAAACTAAATACTTGATTCAATGAATTTAATAATTAACTGTGAAGGCATGATTTCAGATGGACTGTTTGAGAATTATTTTGCCATGAAATATTCTAACATTGGTAAATTTATTGTTGGGAATAAAACTTATCTATTATGGTAGGTGAAGTGGTGTATTTGGTAGATTTCTTTGCTGCATCTGCTGATCTGAGATCATCTCATCATGGTTCAAAGCTCTGCCAGGATCATCATGGTCTATGTATGGTCAAGGCTTCAGTCCCCAAGCCGGAAGAAAATATAAGAAGACCTATCCTTAAGGCCGGACATCAACATAAGACCTCTTTTCTTCCTTCTCGGTAGATTTTATAGAAATATTCAGTGTGGGGCAAGAATGGTTCTCATTGGTTCTTAACTTCACCCAATTACTCCACAATAACTGGTAACACCCTAAAAGGAACCTGTTACTTAGCCCATTACTAGTTTTTACTCTAAGCCTTACGCAGGATTCAGGTACATTTCGGTCCTTATCTACCTGCTCCTCCTCCCTTGACGCTTTTTTTGGTGTCAGAAGTCGGTTTTGTTCACCTTTGTATCTATAATTACGGACACGTTCACCTCATAATAATTTTAAAACCTTATTTGCTATTGTTCAATACATAGCACTATATTTTAAAAGTTCATTTGGTAAAATATTTATCTTGATTGATTAGCCTTGAATATTCCAGCATTCAAATTTGATTGTCCGTTTCTGTTTTTCGTTTTGATACTCAGTAGACTGTCTGATTATCAGAGCCCCTAATTTAGGTCTTTTTACATTTTACATTTTTTAGCCCTGGTCGAGGAGCTAGTCCAATGTAGAAACCTCTTTCCTGGAGAAAGGTTTTCTGGTTTTAGCCTTCTCATTTAGCAGCGAGCCTGCTGAAGGAGAAGTATTCACCCTGCATGACATGGACCTACCAGAAAACCATAAGGCCTCCTTCACTTCCCTTACCTCTGGCACTGGCAGTAAAGGTGGGTTTCACTACTAACTATTCAGAAGGTGTCTCTGTTTAGGTACTGCGTAGTGGGGTTATTGTTGAATTTATTAAGCTAATTAAAATAGATGATAAAATTACAAAAACCAAATTACATTTCCAGTAAAGTAGGCCAAGTAAATTTTCATCATGAAAAATTGATTCAGATTCATTTCTAGCATCCTTTGAAACTATAAAATACAAATTTGTTTTGAATTAAAAAAATTTCATTAAATAATTTGTTTTTCCATAATAATATATTTTAACCCACTTAACTTGTTCAGTCTAAGTGCTATCCGATTACTTCGACCACTATGGTGCGGGTTCGATCACCGCATGGGGATCCACCCAGAGATTCACAGGGAGATGAACGACCCATATGTCTTAACCACAGCTCCTGGTCCTCCAGGTTGGGGTTTGGGCATAGGGCTAAGAACTCTATCCCGGAAAAAACACCTTATTATGAAACCAAAATGAACTTCAGAAAATCAGACTGTCTAAACATGATAATGACCTCGGCTTTGAATCACGTACTGCTCTTGGAATGTACATAGTTTATACTGATCAAGAGCCGCAAAAACGGTAGTCAATTAACTACAAAGATATAACATACTGTTAACAGCCATTCAAGAGGTAAGTTGGCCAGATGGTGGTGAAATCATTATCGATGACCATACACTATTCTACTCTAGGAGAAACGATAAAAATCCGACAGCCGCCACGGGATTTATAGTTAGTCCAGTGACAAGGAAATCAATCATAAACATCACCTCAATAAATGAAAGGATTAGTGTATTTAGAATTAAAGGTCATTGGTTTAATATCACAATCATTAACTTGTATGTATCAACCGAAGATAAAGATGAAGAGGTGAAGGATGATTTCTACGATCAGTTGGAATATATTTTGGACCAAGATCATAAATGTGACATAAAATTAGTCATAGGTGACTTCAATGCAAAGTAGAACGAAAATAGCAATGACAATGGAGTGAGATGTATCAGTCTGGCAGCAGCTAAAGGTCTAGTCGCCAGCAGTACAATATCACAAGTTCATCTTGATTAGCCCCAAAGGAGTTATAAACCAAATTGACCATGTGCCGGTAGACTAGTGACATCAGAGCTCAATACAAGATGTAAGAAGCTACTGTGGAGCAAACTAATTCAGGTAACTCTCTGATTAGAATTAAACTATGTCAGAGATTAAAGCGAACAACTTCACTCAACAGGGGTCATGTTGAAAGAAGGAGGTATGAAGTTCATAATTTGAAAAATCCTGAATTAAAAACCAAATTCCAACTGGAGCTGAAAAATAAATTCGAACCCTTGGATAGACTCATGATGGACCAACACTGGGCAGAAATAGAGGAAGGGCTAAAAGAAAGAACTAAGGAAGTGATCGGTATTCAGAAGAAACGAAAAGGTAAGATTTGGTTCATGGAATCATACGAAAAGTTAGTAGAGAAAAGAAGAAAAATGAAAGTCCTCTGCCTAACTACAACTGATCAAGTTAAGTTGCTCAGGACAAGTACACAGCTGCCAAGATGAAGCAAAACTATAAGATCAGCAAAAAGGAAATTCCTCAAAGAAAGATTGCAAACTATATTTGGAAGCCTCTACGTAACAATGAATGCCTCAAAAGACCATGGATTGGTAGATTTAACAAAGATGCAATAGAGCTGTGTGCAGATAAATGGAAAGAAATAGTTCAAGACAGGCAGAGATGGAGCAGGCTTGTTAAGGCGGCAAAAGATTTACATGGTCTGTAATGCCAACAGAAAAAAAAAAAAAAAATTCGGTCAGTATTTAATTGCTTCATTATTGTAATCATATTAGTTTCATGCTAAAAATAATTTGTTTTAACTAAATGGGTGGGTATATAGAATAAGGTTATATGCACAAACCTGATTTCCAGATTTGATTTGAAATTAAGAAATAAAGCATGTATAGTATGTATTATACACATCAGGATCCTATTAAATATTTTTTTAGGGATAAATAAAGTTGTTATTCGTTTTTAGCACTTCGTAAAGCACTTAAATAAGAATTTTCATTACGGTTGAAATTTATAAATTTTTTACCCAATATTCGTCTACTAGTTCTTATGAGATCTATCCTTGTTTATAGCTTCCATCTTTGTTAAACTTAGGAAAATATTTCTATTTTTCAATTGCAATGAAAATTTCTATAGTATTAATCTAGATATTATTCTTTTTTTTTTTTTTTTTTCCAATATCACAAAAATTGTGATGATTTCAACATGACTCCACCTTATCCATTCGAAAATTAGTAAGGATTTAGAGTCCTATAAACTACACAAAATGGCATAAACCAGGCCCCCATAAAAACAAACTAGAACTGGAGATATAAAATAAAAACGTTTAAAGAGTTTTTCTTTATTTGTTCCTTATAAAGGCATAAATAAAGACTTATTGATATAGTTTGGAAGAGCAATAATTCAGCTTTCCAACGGTTGTAGAAGCATTAAATTAGGTTAAAATCCTGAGGAGTTATTAATGCTTTATTAAATGGTATGAAAAAAAAGTTTTCACATAAAATTAAGTCCAAAAATCTATATTTTTTATTTCAAAACAAATTTTTTTAAAAATGTTTTGAAGGGTTCTAATGAAAGGGAAGAAACGTATCTGGATTGATTTTTTATAACGAAAATTTACTTAGCTTGCTTTACAGGAAGCCACTTGCGAATCCAGGATTTAATTTTGGGGGGAGGGAACTTCAGCCCGAAGGATTTTTTTTTTCATATATATAACGATAATTAATTTGAAAAAAAAAAGAAAGAAGAAACTAACTACCGTATGACATGGTGTCTTAGTGATTCTTGAAGTCTTATTAAATGTAATTACATGAACAATGATACTTTAAGAGATGGTTTTTAATTTTTTTTTTTCTATAAAACATGGTTATATTTTACTATTTTGGGGGAGGGCTTCAGCCCGAATTCGTGCTCAAATTGTCTTTCGAACTTCAAATATCTCAAAAGTTCAAATGACCATAATTCTGAAACTATTCATTAGAATTGGGTAAAATTTGCCATTTTTTCTTATTTGTGTATTTACCTAATATTCATATTATGTGTATATATGAGAAGGAGTTAGTCGAGGGTGCGTTCAAATAAATAAAAAAATTAAAATATATAAATTATTTTAATTTTTGCCTACGTTTCGACCCACTTTGCAGGTCGTCTTCAGGGCATAAGATGTGGCACTGCGGGAGGCAGTTGGTATATGTGTATATAAATTTTCATTAAAATATTATGTGTATATAAATTTTCATTAAAATCTGTGGGAATGGAATGACCATTATCATATATGAAATATATTCATTTTATTGTTCTCCTGACTTTCTTTTCTTTTCTAGGTATTATATTTGAATAAAACTCCTGAAGAATCATTTAAACTTCTAACAGAAGGTGTTCATATGCCTTTTGTGCCATTTCGGTGAGATACTTTTGTGTTTATTTTTATGGTTGTAAAATAGATCTTTTATTTATAATATATATTATTCAATCATTTAAAATAACAAATTAATGTAGTAATGGAATGGCATTCAGGAAGTGAAACATCTTAATGATTTAGTTCCATATTAATTTTTTTTTTACTAAATCTCAATATCTCATCCAACTTGACCTTGACCTTTACCCCTTTTATATATATATTTATTTATTTTTTCGGAAGGAAGGGTAGAGTTCTTGACAAAAAAAAGTTTGTAAAATGTTCTTTTAAGGCCTTGACAAGGGCTAATTAACAATAAATTAAATTAAATTTTAAGTATTATACGTAGTGTCTTAGCCAACTATAATGTTTAAAAAATATTATAAAAAATATAACAGATGGAACCTCATGATTGGAGATGTACAAAAAAGATTTGAGGCAATTTCGATGAAAACAATTTCATTTGTGTATAAAAAGACTAAGTTTTACTGTGTACGCCAGATTTTCTTTTTCTGTCACCCGAAATTATCTGTGGCTAGTGACGCTTGATCATGTTCCACGCTTCTTGGATTCGTTAGGTAAGGAAATACAAACTATTAACTTTAGGAACTGGGCAAAGGACACAATCCTGACGACGCTAGCCGACTTGACCAATTCCAAGCTCCACTACTGTTTGTTTTACCACAAGCTTCACTACTGTTTGTTTCAATTACAACTTCTTATATAAATTATTAGTTTGTATATTGTAGGTTAATTTTTGGTTTTTAGAAAAAAAATTTCCTTTTCTTTGAGAACTAAAGTTTTTTTTTTTTGTTATTTTACAAACCTAAGGTTGTTTTGTAATGTTCATTCTCTTTAACTTTTATTTTCGTTAATAAATATAGAAATAAGATAATTCATTTAGTAATTAATTAAATCATTGAAAATACATAGTCAAGAGTAGATAGTTCATTTAATTAATTTAAGTTCCTTTTGAAATAATAATATTAATAGTGTAGTTTTTCTCATCTTTTTGTTATGTTTGTTTTCAGAGTTCAGTTATATATCATTTTTATGTATATATATGTTTTTATAAATCATTATCAATAGACCCTTTATTATTTTTTTTTTTTTTTTTTTGTGACCCCGCCAGTCTCTACTGAGAGTCCGGCAAGTTGTGAAATTATCTGTAACAAGTAATGCTTGATTATGTTCTTGAAGACCTTAGGTGAGGAAATACAACCTATTAACTTGAAGAACTGGGCAAAGGATACAATCCTGACAGTTTTTTTTTTTTTTTTTTTTTGTGAACCTGTCTGTCTCCACTGAGAGTCCGGCAAGTTGTGGAAAAATTATAAAATATTTAAGACTGTAACACTTTGACCTTCAATAAATAGGAACACCAGCATGATTCTTTATGAGAGTCTTTACCCAACATTTAGTAATTCAAAATAATCATGATAATTTTCAGTTTTATCCCTTTCATTCCTAGACTAAACTTTTTTCTATCTTATTTGACTGAGCTAACTGTGACTGAAGAAAACAATGTACAGTTAGCAAAATAAGTTTAGGTACGCCACCACCTTAAATTATTTTACTGCATTAAACAATAAAACCAGACAATAATAAACACTTTATTTGCTGTTTCTCAAAATTTTAATAGTGAAGAACATAAATAAGGAAGTTGCATCAAAAATTTGAATTTTTACTTCTGGATCGCACAAATAATTAATTCTTCTTCTTCTTAGTCATTTCCTTTTCTACCGCTAGGCGGTGTGAGGAGCCTTCTTGTAGAGCCGAATCCACAACTCTCGATCCTGAGCCAACTGCCGCCTCCTCCTCCAGTCAATATCCCTTCTGTCAAAGGCTTCCTTGACACTAGCCTCCCAGGTCTTCCTGGGCCTTCCCTGAGGTCTTCTTCCCTCAACTTTGCTTTCCAATGCTATCCTGGCCATTCGATTCTCTGGCATTCGAGAGACATGATCAAACCATCTCAATCGATTTTCCTCCATCACCGTTTCGGCTGCTCTTACGTTTAAATTTTTCCGTATTATGGAGTTTCTTATGCGATCTCTCTTTGTTTTTCCTTCGACCCTGCGCAGGAATCGCATTTCTATAGCCTGAATCTGGCTGATGTGCTTTGTGGTGAGGGTCCATGACTCGCTGGAGTAGGTCATTATTGGGAGGAAAGTATTTTTGTACACTGTCGTTTTGGTCTCTTTACTCACTTCTCTCTTGTTCAAGAATCCTTGCTTGATGGCGTTGAAGCACCTTCCTGCAGACTTCACTCTTTCCTTTATTTCTCCGTCGATCCATCCATGTTCATTGATGTGGGCACTGAGGTATTTGAAAGTTTTCACTTGTTCCAATGGGACTCCACTCAAGTGCACTATTCTGTCTCCTCTTCTTTGTTTTCTGCCAATCCTCATTGTTTTGGTTTTTTCCACATTAATTTGCATATTTATTTTACTCAATTCTTCCTGGAGAATGCGGAGGTTGAATTGCAGGTTTCGTCCATTGCTTCCGAAAACCACCAAATCGTCTGCATAAGCGAACAGAGAGAAATATACAGGCTGAAGATTTCTGTATCCCATTTGATATGATCTCATGTTTTGTTTTGCTATTTTTATTGCATTATCTAGCACTAGTGTAAATAGCAGAGGACTTAGACTGCACCCTTGCCTAATACCTTGATTAGTTGTGAACTCTTCCGATATGTTATTGCATATTCTCACAACATTTCTTTGGGTCTTATAGAGAGTTCGAATTGCCTTACGGAGGCCTGTTTCGATGCCTTTGTCTTCCAAGGCATTTGCTATGTCTTGCTTCTTCACTCGGTCAAATGCCTTAGTGAGGTTTACAAAACAGGCATATATCTCTTTGTCCCATTCAATTAATTTTTCAGAAATTTGTCTCAAGGTAAATATGAGATCCTGGGTACTTCTATTTGGCCTAAATCCATACTGTTCTTCATTCAGGGAGGATTCCACTGTTCTTCGTAGGCGTTTCTCTAAAATATTTGAGTATATTTTACCTGGGACACTAAGAAGAGATATCCCCCGGTGGTTTTTACATTCTCTGTTATCCCCTTTCTTAAATATTGGGACTATAACAGATACTTCCCAATCCTTTGGAATATTCTTTGTTTTCCACACAAGGTTTAGAAAAAAAAAAATAATTTTTATAACGTAAAAGAGTTTGTGTACACATGATTTTTTTCTTATTATTTTTATAACATAATATTGTTAATGCACAATTTTCAGAAATTCATGATATGCAGAGCCTCCCTTATTTTTATCACCTTTCGTAGACAGTTATTCATTTCCAATACCAATTTTTTAGTGAATTCAGGCTCAATTTGCTCCCATTAATACATTAATGCTTCCTTAAGTTGTGATTTGTTTTTTAATCTTCCTTTTTTTCAGTCTTGGCTTTAGTTCATCTCATAGATGTTCAATTGGGTTCAGGTCCGGTGATTGGGGTGGATTTTTTAATTGTCTTGGTGCATTATGGAGTAGCCACTCTTCGACTTTCCGTGCTGGATGCGTTGTGTCGTTGTCTTGTTGAAATATAAGGATTCATTGTACTTGATTTTAAATTTTCGTTTAATATATATATCTATGTACATATATTCTACATATATATCTATGTACTTATATAAGGCATCTGCTGAACGAATAGATTGGTTTGAAAGGAAAATACTAAGACGGATAATAGAACCTAAACTGGAGGAAGGAGTTCTCCGCTTGAGAACAAACAAGGAGGTATACTCAATGTATGGTGATCTGTCTCTCCCAATTCACTCGAGTGCAACAAATGAAATGGTTAGGACATGTCCTGAGAATAAGTGAAGCGAGGACAGCGAGAAGGCTTTATCATGAGAAGCCAGAGAGAGTTAGGTCTAGGGGAAGGCAGAAGGCAAGATGGATAGACAACATGAAAGAAGACTTGAGAAAAACGCCATATCCATCAGGTGCGCAGCCAACAGGGATGACTGGGCAAAGGAAATTGAGCAGGCCAAGGACCACTACATGCGTCTGTTGTGCCAATAATGAATGAATGAATGAATGTACATATATTGGTCCATCATACCGTCAATAACTTTAAGTTTTGCCTTGCCAGGCGCACTCATACAGTCCCAAACCCTGATTCCACCTCCTCCATGCTTGACCATGGGACACAAGTTTTTAATGTTAAAGTTGTTCATGAATCCTTTTGCAATTTTTTAGGATGTCCCATTCTTGGTCGACTTTGAAAGTTTCCAGTCTCTTTAAACCTGTTGATCATTTTCTGAACTGTGGAGTGATATTTGGAAATTATTTTGCCAATTTCTCTGTGACTTTCCTTCTTTTCTTAAATTAACAACTAATTTTTGAATTTCCACAGTTATATGTAATAAAAAGATATAAATACGTGTAAATATAAAATATACTGAGAAAGTAATTAAGTAAACGAAATATCGATGAATCACAAAGTAATCAGAGTATCTGGGCGTACTTTGAGGTTTTTACAGCTTAGGTTTTTAAGTGCATTTCGTGATCAATCGGATTGGGAATGGAGTAGGTGTTTGAAGAGGAGAGATTTGAAAGAGGATATGGATTTTGCATGTCGAATATCTGAAGGTATAGAGTTCTAGAGGGAGACAACTTGTATTAAAAAGGATTTATCAAACGCAGCAGTTAGTTCGGTGAGGAGGAGGATAGAGGTCGGACGCACGGGATCTGGTGGGACGGGATTGAAAGGAGTGTTTGAATGGTAGGATCTGTAGAATATAGGCAGGTCGCCGTGTTCTAATGGCTTGGTATAGGAAGGGTAGCAAGGAAATATTGACGGCGGTAGGACGGATAAAGTCACTTCAACTTGGTGTAGAACTGGGTAATATGCGTATCCGCAGTTTTTGAATGGAAGAAGATAACGTAGATGGTTAAACTGTTTCAGGGTGGATGTAGTACGGCGGGAAATTTGGGAGATCTGTGGTTTCCAGGAGAGGCTTTGATCGGGGGTAACGCCTAGGTTTTTAACGGTGGTATGGAAGGAGATAGGTGAATCGTTCAGAACAAGATTAGGAGGTGCTGAAATGGGTTTGAGGAGTGAGAGGGATCCGATCAGGATGCCTTTTGTCTTCTCTGTATTTAATGTCAGCTTATTAAGATTTGCCCATGCGCATATTCTATTGATGTCTTGTTGCAGTTTTAGGATGGCATTAGAGGAATCTGTCGGGTTGAAGGAAAGATAAATTTGGAGGTCATCGGCGTATAGGTGATATTGACAGTGTATGATAGAAGAAAGGGAGGTCATTGATGTAGATGGAAAAGAGGGTGGGGATAATGAGGAACCTTGTGGGACGCCTCTGGACAGAGGTAGAGACATTGATTGAGGGTTATTCGGAACTACAACGTACTGGGAGCGATCGGTGAGAAAGGATTTGAACTACTTAAGGGCGCTAGGATATATTTTTAAGTTTGGTTAGGAGGATATTATGGTCAACTGAGTCGAATGCTTTAGAGAAATCAAGAAGGATCAGGATGGTGAGTTTCTGTTGATCTATGGTTGTGTGGAGATCTTGGGAGATTTTAATGAGGACGGAATGAGTGGAGTAGTCTGGTCTAAAACCAGACTGGAAGCAGTTCAAATGTTTATTTTGTTCAAGATATTGGGATAGTTGAGATTGTACTATTCGCTCTAAAGGTTTGAAAAGGTTAGATAACAGAGAAATTGGACGGAAATCATTGGGGGTAGTGGGATTAGAGATTTTGTTCAGAGGACGAACAAGAGCGGTTTTCCAGGTGAAAAGTAGAGCTTTGTAGTGAGGATTTATAGATATGATAAAGGACTGGGAAAATGGATGGAAGTGAGGATTTAATTAATTTAACTGGGATATTATCTGGTCCGAAATCTTTGGTTTGGGGTTTACAGATGGATTTAAGGAGGTCGTCAGGTGTAATATGTGAAAAGAAAAAATGATTGGGATTAAAGGGGGGATGTATGAGGGGTGGAGCTGGTGCTTGGACAGAGGGATCGGATGAACAGGAGACAAAATGAGTGTTGAGTATGTCAGCTGAAATAGAGGTAGTCTGGATTTGGGTGGATTTGCCTAAGGATAATTTACGGAGGATTGCCCACATAGCTTTGGAGTTTGGTGTGCTGAATAAGGATTCTTGGTAGTAGTGGGATTTGGCACGGCGTATCATGGATTGCGTACTGTTTCGAAGCAGCTTGAAATTCAGGGAGTCGAGTGCTCTTAAACCTTCGTCTTGCTGCGTCTCTTCGTTTGATACAATTTTTTATCAAAGGCGTCAACCAAGGGGTTGGTGGGTACTTGATTGTCCTGACTTTAAGAGGAGTGTGACGGTCTAGGATAATGTGCAGTTGATTGGTTAAGGTTTCTACCATAAAATCAATGGAGTTAGAGGAGTATATGGAGTCCCATTGGATTGCATCAAGATTAAACATCAAAGTTTCGGATGATAGAAGAGTAAGGTTTCTGAAGGATATAGATCGGGGACTAAATAGAGGAACAGGAAGGTTATAGGAGATCTGTATGAGATCATGAGCAGACAAAAATGGAACCAGGTACTGTGATGAGGCGAGGAATTTATCAGGAGAGTCAATAATGCAAAGATCGAGCCAAGAGTCTGAGTATTGGGCGTGATGGGTAGGGTTGTACGGAACTATATACAGATTTAGAGACTAGAGGAGGTTTGATAAATAGGCTTGGTCAGAAGAAGGAAATAATAGGTTGGTATTGAAATCTCCAAAAAGAGCAATATTGGAGTAGGAAGGGCTCAGTTCATAGAGGAATGTCTCGAGTGTTTCATCAAAGGGGGTTCTAGGAGGTTGGTAGATGACACCAATGAGCAGTGAATATGAGGAGGTGGATATTTCAGCAAAAAGATATTCGATATGTGGGGAGACGGAGAGAGGAGACAAAACAAGGATTTTGGATTTCAGGCTATCATGAACAATAATGGCTACTCCGCCTCCGATTCTATTTTTTCTATCATGACGTAGGGTATAGTTAGGGATTGAAACTTAAGAGGATGTTACCGTGTGTTTTAGCCAAGTTTCTGAGACAGCGTTTAGGTGGTAGAAGTTGTGGAGGAAGAAATCATGGAATTCATCTATGTGGGCTAAAAGTGACTGTGCGTTGACATGGCATGATAATAAGACATAAGTCATGGGAGATGGTAGATTGGGATAGTGAATCGGTAGGAGGGGCGAGAGATAATTAGGTTGGATTGATCTGACCATGGATGCTGAAACATAAATAGCAAAACTATGGAGAAGTAGAAACTAGAAAAAATAGGCTGAAACATAAATAGCAAAACTATGGAGAAGTAGAAACTAAAAAAAATAGGTAAAAGAAATAATCTAGATAGTATCCTATAATCAATGGAGATAAGAAACAAAGATATAGTAGATCCATACAAACAGAAAACGAAAATATACTCTGGCAACAATGAGCAATAATACTAATAAAATTAGCTGCAATATACACATAAACGAAAAAATCATCTCAAATCTCTGTTATCCGGTTGCCAGGCAACTAAGCGGTGCTGTGCACATGCTTTAGCCCAATCGGCCACCCCACCCCTAACTGACCAATAGTGGACCAGGAGTTTTATCTTGCCGAGTTCTGATCCTCTCTATGCTGTCTACGTCTTCCACCTTTAGGCTTAGCCCTAGCGCTGTGCCCACACTCACCATCAGCCCCATTGGAGATTCACCAGGTCTCACCAGAATTCCTCTAATCTCTGGCGGTTTTAACCAGGTGCTGTTGCTCGGATCTGTTTAACTTTATTCCAAGCTCCGACACTCGTGATTTTAGAGTTGAATTCTCCAAAACCAAGCCTTCTATTTTCGAGTTTTGAGCTTCTAGGAGCGATTCTATGACTTTTAATTGCTCCGAGTTTTCGAAAGTGATAGATGCCTGGGTTTCCATTGACGATTTCACATCCTTCAGGTCGGAGGCATTTGCTTCAACAGAACTTCTGAGGTTCTTAACCTCAGCTGTAAGCTCTTTGATTGCAGAGAGCAGCAACTGCGATGTAGCATCCCCAGTGGTATGCTGCGAGCTTGTGCCTCTTTCAGTAGGCGAACCATTTCCTTGAGCCTTTTCACAATTGGGACATTTCCAAGTCATTTATTTTTTTAGGGATTCAATGTCTTTTATTTCAACATTCAGACATTTCCCGTGATAAATCGCTTGGCAGTTGGGAGTGGAACAAATTAATGTTTTTTTATCTTCACTTGACATGATCTGCTTGCATAGGGGGCAATTTATCATTTTTATTTGTTTTTTAGACAAATATTCGAGAGAGAAGCGACAAGGAGAGAAATAAAAAAAAATAGAAAAGATCGTGAGATTTCTGAAAACGTTGGACGTAACCTCACATGTAAATAAGGCAAGTCAGTCGAACTGACTTATATAATATTTAGTCTATTCATGACCACCACCCCAGAACTTCTCCTTCCTTAAGAAAAAAAAATGTTCTGAGGAAGGACTTGAAATTCCAAAATGTTAAGAAATAATAAAATAAATTGTGTGGAAGTGGTAGGTAGTTTTTTGCTTTATATTTCTGAGAATCTAGTTGGTGGCATCCTGGTAAAAATAATTAGCATGATTGATCTTAAATTTAATTATAAAATATATTTTACTGTGAATAACTTATTGAGTATCATTTTTTCTCATTAATTGATTATGTTATTCCTTGTTTCAGTGATGCATCAAGTGGACTTACAGTATGTCAGATTAGTTTATTGGATTGTTTGCAAGCAGTTTTCAAGGCATATCATTTAGGATTTTTTAATTTTGAAGATTTTAATGTTGAAGAGTATGAGCATTATGAGGTTATTAATGATTTTATAGTTTTGTACATTTTAAATGGTAATTGAAAATATTAATAAATCAATCTAGTCAAAAGTTCTCTAATCCACATTGAGGAATGCTAATTTGAGGCCTTTTTTTTATACCTCTAATCCTTTTCTTTCCACAATTATTTTCATCTAGCCTTGAGCCTTGAGTATCTTTATCTATTATATCACTTAATCTGGTGATTATGAATTAGGTAACTTGCTCTTCCAATGTTTTAAGGTTGGACACTTATCAACACCAATACTTAATATTATGCACAATTTTCTTACATATGACAGAGAACATTTATCCTAGAAAAATCTCTTTTTTGTTGAGAAAACTGAAATTTTTTGCTATTTACGTTTTAGTAGAAATTTTGAACTGTGGTTATTAGGACTCTTTCACTGTTACTCAAGCTGCTAGCAAGAGTTTTACTAATGTCTAGTTATGGAATATTTTATTACATAGATGGGACAATGATCCATTAATGGATCTGGTCTTTTTATTCCTAATATAGATATTTTAAGGGTAGTAGGTTATTGGTTCCACCTCCCTCAGGAGTCAGTTGAGAAACTACTTTCTACCTTACCCTTCCTGAACCAACATTTATACCAAATAAAGAAACATTTCTAACCTTCAACAATAAGGAGCTACACAGGATTATAATATGTGAGCAGTGAACAGGACTCTATCCTGTGACACTTTAACTTCATACTTATTTTCTTTTTTTTATAAAGCCACTTGAAATTTTAATGCAGTTTACATATATTGTCTACCAATTAAACCAGGTACTGGAAAATGTGGAGGACTCATCCGGCAAGGTCTATGGTCCTTTTTTGCCAACCATAAAAGTCATACTTAGTCAACATTCCTCAACATCAGGGGTCTCCTTCTTGGGAGTGGTTTGTTTGATCTTATGTCAATTTCAGCTCTGAGAAGCTTATATATGAATTGCCCCTCATCCTGTGAGATAGACTGGTTTTGTTGGCAGGTGTTGGAGGAGACTGCTTGACCAACCTTTGTCTCTGTATGTAAGAAATATGTTAGCCCTCAAGGAAACCCTATCCTGTCTGCCCCAAGAGAGGACAAGCCTCCTCCTCTGTTGAATCTGTCTAAGGACATTCCTGAGAATACTCCCCTCCTGCCGAACGAGAGGAGAACGACCCGTGGGGCATCTGGATGAGTAAGGCTTAATGATTTGACAGCGTACAATTCAGTTTTTCTTTTTAAGGCCTCTGCCCACCGTTTCTATCTATGTTAGTTGTTTCTTTAGTTTGGTCCAACTGATCTTTGCGGCCTCCTTTTTAGAAATTGTGTTTCTGGGAGGTGATTGATTTTGTAGCCTCTCTTACTCTATTTCAGTCAACTTAAGTCAAATAGATTTTCCACCGAGTTACTCTTACTTGGAGAGCTAGGTGAGAGTTGGTATGGTCACACCACAGTGCCTCATTTTGGTTTAACAACCTGCTAACTCCCTTCTGCTATATCCTTAAAATCTACTTACCCAGTCTAGGAGGACTGCACCATTCTTACTTTTAACTGGCATGTTTGGCTACCCATTTGAAGCTTTATCCATTGGTATAGTTATGTATGTCTTTGTATTGGAAATTTTTTGGTGTCAGATTAGGTTAAGCTTGTCACCCAAGATTGGCATCCAGTGACCTCAGGGGGGCAACTCTGCTCCATGCAGGGTCCCATCCAGTCACCAACTGGCACTAAACTTGGGGTTTGCCTATGGGTGGAATTTTAATTGATGCCCTAAGTGGAATAGTTTTGGACAGGCTGCCTAAAGATGAGACTAATACAACATAAGACCTTGTTCGCTTATTAAATATGTGGGTGATTTTCTGTTAATACTTAAGAAAGATGAGATTGAAAGCTTTTTCAGTGTTTTGAATGGTTTTCATTGAAATATTAAGTTCACATATGAGCTTGAAACAGAAGGGAAAATTAGATATTTAGACATAATAATAATAATAGAAGGCTTAGCGAACCCGAATGTTTGATGCCGACACTGCCAATCGCTTATTACACACCTCCCTCCACGATTTGTCGTCCAAACCCAGTCCCTTCAGATCGGCTTTAACACAATCTTCCCACCTTTGCTTCGGTCTACCCCTCAGACATTAACCATTTGATACAACAAATATTAACCTTTTAGTAATTCTTTCATTGCTTAGCTCAACAATTTGATAACAAGCCCATTTGATTCGCCTCGATGTAATCACCTCAATTATATTAACTGGATATAGTTCACACAATTCGGTGTTGTGTAACCGTCTGAACTCTCCGGTTAACTCATCCTTCTTCGGTCCGAATATTCTACACAATACTTTATTTTCAAAAACCTTGAGACGTTGCTCATCCCTTAATGTAAGCGGCCACATTTTGTATCCATAAAGAATTGTAGGTAAGATAATGGTTTTATAGATTCTAGTTTTTAAGTTCTGGGACAGGAGGCACAAGCTAAGTAATTTTGTCACAGAAAAATAACAAGCATTTCCCACCTTCAGCCTAACGTTAATCTTCTCTTTGTTTTTTCTAGTTATCGTAGACCCTAGATACCTAAACTTCACTACCTGTTCAAACATATTACCGTCTATATCGATATCACCAGCAATATCCCCATTTTGGCAGCTAACCATATATTTTGTCTTATCCGTGTTTATTTAGAGCCCTAGTTCTTTACCGGCTTTCATTAACATTGTCGTTTTTAATTGTATAGTTTCCGTGTCGTCGCTTAACAGGACCAGATCATCCGCATAGCCAAGCACAAGTATTGTCCCACCCATATCCAACCCTTTTTCGGTACGCATTACCTCCCTATTTTCATGTTCTAATGCCAAATTGAATAGGACAGGAGAAAGGGAATCGCCCTGTTTTAAACCCGAAAGAATCTCAAACTTTTCGTATAAATTATTACCGATTCTAACTTTATTGAGTGTTTCCGTCATGCACATCCTGACTAGATTTACTAACTTTTTTGGAATCACCTGCTCGATTAGAATATTATACAGTTTCTGGCGGTCAATAGATTCGTAAGCCTTTTTAAAATCTATATACAGCTGGTGAACAATACCATTGTACTCCAATTTTTTCTCTAATATTTGCTGTAAAGAAAATATTTGATCAATAGTCGAACGATTCCGTCTAAATCGTACAAAGCGATTCATCAAACGTTCTAGTTTCGATCCCCAGAGACGCCCCCATATACCGTATAGCAATAGTCAAAGTGGGGAAAAATTAAGGAAGTGACTAGGAGCCTACGGGTTTCAAAAGGAAATAGGTGACGAGAATAATTTAGACGTTTTAGGGTGGAAATGGTACGGTGGGAAATATTGGATATATGGTTTTCCACGAAAGCGTTTGATCAATTGTTATTCCAAGATGGTGTATTTTGATGATGGGATAAAATTTGATGGGATTATTATACAGAAACAGAATTGGAATATTAGGAACAGTTTTAAGTAGGTGATTTGGAAATCATCTGCACTGGGAGTGATGGATCAGGAGGGGAAAGTCATTAATGTGAATAGCAAACAGAGTAGGAGATTAGGAAGGTTAGATTTTATTAGATTTACTGGAAATTATCAGGACCATAATCATTAGTGTGGGATTTTAGGATAGTGGAAAGAAATTCATCGTAGGACACATGAGAGAAAAAGAAGTCTTCAGGATTGAAGTTGTGATATTTAATATCGAAAGTAGGAGAGGAAGTGTGAGTGAAGGATAAGAAATGGTTATTGAGATCATCTGAAGAAAGAGAGAAGGAACTAATATTATTGGATTCTGGTAGGGATAGATTACAGAGTATTTTCCTTTTGGATTTGGAGTCGGGAGTATTGGACTGGCCATTATGGAAGTAGGTGGCTTGAAAGACGCATAATTCACAGGCAGACGGGTTCAACGATATTTGCGCCTTTCTGCATCTCTTCCTCTTATCATTTCCTTTATCTCACTGGTCAGCCAAGGTGCAGTGGGAAGGCATAAGGTTTTGGTTTTCAGAGGAGCGTGGATGTCTAATATGGATTGTAGGTTTGAGGTCAGGTGTGGATACCATAGGATCAATGGAGTTGTAAGAATATATGGTGTCTCATTGGACAGAATTAAGGTCTGGTTGACAGAAAATTTAAATTGCTGTATGAAACTATTTTGGGTATGATCTATTTAATCAAAAGATTTTGGAATTCTAACTTATAAAATTCACAAGAATGCAAATGGCATTTCTAACAGTAAGAATGTTGCATTGTCTATCAGAGTGAATTGTAAAAACAGTGGTAGCAATGGAATGTTTTTTCATACACTTAATCAAAGGTCTTTAGGAACAAATTGGAAACATTTGTTCAGAATTTAATATTTATTAAATTAAGCTTAATATTTATTAAATAAAATAAGTAGCAGGACGAGCAAGTTTTACACCCCACCCCTCTTAAAGATAAAATATTAACCAAACAACAATCTGATGTAATATATGAAATTAGGTGCGTGCATTGTTGCAAGGTGTATATTGGTGAAATCTCAAATTTGGCAAAGAAGAATGTATCAGCATGAAAATGATTGCAAGAATGTCAATAGAAAGGAGCCTAACACTACATTAGCTCACACTCAAAAGCATTTAAACATGAATTTGATTTTAATCATGTTTGAGTATTACAGGAAGGGAAGAATAGTTCTAAAAGAAAGTTATTTGAAGCTATTCATATTGCACAGAATTTAAATAATGCTGTTGATTATAGAACTGACAGTATAAATTTGAATAACTTTTACTATAAAATGTTTTCGGATTAGTTTAATAAATCTAGCTACTTTGTTTTGTTTTTTTAACTTTGCGTGATAAACTGTTTTTTATGATAACCTTCCTTTGATGTACTTTTACATTCCTTCTTTTTAATATTTATTATTATTTGTATTTTTTGTGTTATATTTGTGTGTTTTTGTTGGAAATCACTTGTTTTTTATTTTTTTTTTCTGATCGGCTGTTTGATTATAACTTTCATTAGCCGTGTTACCTCACTTTTTTCTCCAGTACGGAATAAGATGTCATGGAGGGATGTGATCTTGGGTTTATTTTATTTTATGTCCTGATGATTCATGAATTGGTGAAACGTTGACGAGTTACTTTATTCTTTACTTGCATTTTAGAGACATAAGGCTCTGTTGTTGGAATTTTTCAGATTATAACCTAACTAAAATTTTTAGTTTGTCAACCTCCAAGTTGTATACAACTTTTCTGTTTTCCAAATTATTTAAATAAAATTTTTTCGAATTTATTTCAAAAATATTTGTTTCTTATTTATGTAGTTTTAAATTGTATTAATGCATATAAGCTTATTTTATTCTTCAAAATATTTTTTAATTTTAATTACAATATTCAGAGAGTGGAAAATGGCGACTTAAATTGGATTGTACCTCAGAAATTTCTTGCATTCTGTGGACCTCATGCATCTACTAAAGTGGAAAATGGTATGATATGATCATCTATTCTTTTTTATTTTAAATATTTTGTTCACATTTTACCAAACTTAATTTAAACTTATATCTTTATTTTCTTTTAGGTTATTTTGTTCATTCTCCAGAGTTTTATTTTACATATTTTAAGAAAAATAATGTTTCTACTATAATTCGCTTAAATCAAAAAATGTATGATGCTTCAAGATTTATTAATGCTGGATTTCAACACAAGGATTTATTTTTTGTGGATGGTAGTACACCCAGTGATAGCATATTAAAACAATTTTTAAGTTTTTGTGAGGCAGCATCAGGAGCTGTTGCTGTTCATTGCAAAGGTACAGCCGATTATTTAGCTTTTTTTTTTTTTTTAAAGCCAAGTATACTAAGAGAGTTGGTTAGGAGTACTGCCAGAAAAGAAAAGTACATAAATAACTAGTATTAAAGTAACTTATATTAATATGTGTTGATCTTTCGACATTGTTGTTGGTTGTTGGACTTAGTAACACAAGATAACCTATATGGACTTATAATAGGATAATAATAGATAATAAGATAATAAATAATAATATAAGAATCGAATGAACAGTATAAAAATTTAGAGTATGAAAATGATTAAGATTTTTGAAATTAATGCATATGAATAATGGAAATTAAAATTAAATTGAGAAAAGAGAATGAAGGAATTAGATATGTACAATGTAACAAAGTGGATAAAATATAAATAAGACACTGTCATAAACATTAGGCTTTTATTTAAATAAGACGAAAATGTTTTAACATTGGAATACTTGTCATATAATTTTTATTTTTGACTGTCCACAGATTTGACTGTTTCAAAGAGAATTTATGAATTATATAAAGTGAAAACTTGATTTAAGGAACCAATTTTTTACAATAATGGTATAGAATTGTGGTTAGGTGGATTTTATAGTCATATTGTATAATTTTTGACTTGAAAATTCGCAAAATTGCCCAAAACGTCGAGATGTTTAAAATGAATTAAAGTATTAATAAAATGTATAAGGGTTTAAAATAATTTTTTTTCTTCGATATTATAAACTTTATTTATACATATTACATTATGAATTATGTATATTTATTTTTTAAATTTTAATAAATACAATTTATTTATTTTTAAATTTTTTTTTACTGAACATCCCCCACCAATCTTCTTCAACTTATTAAAAATTGAATATTAATGTAATTTAGTTTGTTCTTAATATACTTCAAATCTGTTATTGGATGTATTAATGCCAGGTTACCTATACATGAACATTTAATGACAAATTTGAGCTTGTAAAATTTATTTTTAATGAACAAAATTTATAATTTGTATACATAAATAGATTCTCTCTACATTTGAGATATTTGTTCTTTTTTTTTTTTAATTGTGTATAGTATTAGATATGATTATAATTTAATTATTCTAATGTTTTTAGCTGGACTTGGTCGTACTGGCTCTCTCATCGGCTGCTATATTATGAAACATTATCAGTTCACTTTCCTGGAAGCAATTGCATGGATAAGAATATGTAGACCGGGTTCCATAATAGGTCATCAACAGAGATGGTTGAAAGAGTATGTTTTCAAATTTATAATTAAAACTTTTATTTGCTTAGTTATAATTAATCTGAATTGGCCAAATCATCCTTAAATTTTCTACTGAAAACTTCTTTTTTAAGATTTTTTTTTTTCAAGAAAAGCCCATATCTGATTTTTGCATGGATAGATATACATAACTGGATTCAAAGAAACTTTGGCGATGTCAGCACTGAAGATATTTGGTGTTATATCATGAGTACTCTCTCCCCCATTCCAGTAAAAAAATCAACTTAAAATGAATTTCTAAAACTATTATATATTACTTTTTATGTGAATTATTCAGTCATTCAATATGTCTCAAATTAGTTGCTTTATTAATAGGCTAAAGTTGATTTTTGTTATACTGTTTATAATTTTGAACATATAGGTGGCACCCCTCCAATTGCCCACCCCTTTAGCCTCCACTGGATGAAGTACATATTTTTGTTAAGGATGTTCTGTAGAGCAATCTTTATTTTAGCCTTGGATTTTTAATAATAGCTAAATCTCCTTTAGCCAATGTCAATTTACTATGGACAACATTTATAACTGTATATGTGGTACCATATCATTTCTTCCTCATCTTATTTTTAATTAATTAACCTTTAAATCATGGCCGCTGTGAATTTTGCTACAAAAAAGATACGTTCTAGTAACAAATACTATTCATAATTATCCTATTAAATTTCTCCAGAGTATTAGTCACTTTTTACTACAATACCTGTGTAAGCCATTTATGAAATTTTTTTTTATCCATCATTATTGATTTAAATCCACTCATAAGGGGAGGCTAGAGTCAGTGAATCACCAATTTCAACCAACTGATATTACACTACCAACATTGAAAAATATTGGGCAGATGTCCCAGCGTTCGTTCCAATGGACCCTAGAAGCCGAGAAAAAAAAAAAATAGATATATAAATTCAAACAAAATTTATGTTATTTCTTTTTGCCTTTGCTTTGCTCTAATTTTTAGGTTATTATATATCAATCGAGTTCTGCGCATGCGCTAGATTATAATATACCACTGTTATCTCGTTTCAGATATATTCACTTTTTCTTGGGAAATTAGCGTAATTTTTAATAAAATTGTGACTATATGTGAGCTAAACACCTAGACCATAATATGTACTAAATCCACAGTGAGTACAGTTGTTATTTATTGTGTACAGTTGTGTGAAGTGAAGCCGGTGTATAGACGCCAGTTTTGTTATCTCGCAGCCATAAGTACATTATCCCAGACTAGTCAGTTGGGCTTGGAGATTTAATGGGAGAGGTCCTTTTGCAACGCTGATACAAAATCAAAGTCACGCAGCGTGTTTTAAGATTTTTTTTATTTCATTTTTTTAAAAAAATGTTCTCTTCCTTTACTTTCTCTCGATGTATTATGCAATTCAACCATCAACTCATGTCTTGTAAGGGTGTAATAACGAGGTCTCGCTCTGTCGGATCAACACCACTTTCGTCACCTGCGAAAAAATAAAAGTCACTGAAAGAACGACACCACCTGCGACTCCACCTAAAGTAACAGAAGATACTCAACCTCAGCCCGATACATCTCCAGGGCACAATAGATGACTCTCCCTTTTTCACCCTGAATCCTTACGAAGTACTGCAAAATGAAAAAGAGGCGATGGAATCTACAAATCCTGGTAGCTACTCCTGTTTAAGCCGGACTAGTGATATTAAAATATCCACGGGCACAGCTAATGCATACCGCCAAATTATTAAATATCTATCTGACACAAAGGCAGATTTTCACACCTACCAATTGAGGCAAGAGCGTTCCTTGAGGGTAGTAATCCAGAATTTACACCCCTCTACTCCAGCCGAGGCGATCCAAGAAGAACTGACAGCCCTAGGTTTCAAAGTCCGACAGGTCACCAATGTAATGAAGGACGACGGAGATGTATCCGGTGCTAATAGAAAAATACCATTACTCATATTTTTCATAAATTTAGAACCCCCAGCAGGAGTTGGTAAAATATATGAAATTAGAAGATTATATTATACTAGTGTTAAAGTTGAAAAACCATACACTAAAAGAGAAATCATCCAGTGCCATAATGCCAGGCATATGGCCACATTAAAACTTACTGCCACCACATTCCAAGATGCATGAAATGTGGAGAGTCACACAAGACTGGTGAATGTAATAAACTGAAAACTACTCCCACTGTATGTGCTTTATGCCTGGAAGGACTTCCTGCCAACTACAAGGGCTGCCAAGTCCACAAAAACATCAAAAATAAATTTCACAAACCCGGGAACCAAGAAGAAATCTCGAAGCCTAGAAGAGGACCTGCTAAAATAGTAGACTCTAAAGTTTCTTTTCCCCAGTTACTAGGCGACAGAGCCCCAACTGACAAATGTGAGGCCCTGTCGCAACAGGAACCCCAATCCCAACTTCAATACCCTATCCCTCCTAAAGTACAAAACCCTCAACAATCTCATCAACATCACATTCCTCATATTCCTCCTCCATCGCAAGCCACAGACCTTACCAGTTTGTTGGCATCTTCACTGAATTCAAATCCCTTGTTACCCCACTGATATCTCTCCTTACAAATCTAGTATCCCACCTCATCCCTCCTTTAAAAAATCCTTAAATGAATTCCTCCAAACTCTTATCCATTCTCCTTTGGAATGCGAATGGTGTTAGAAATCACACTGATGAACTGACAACTCTATTACTAGACAAAAACGTTGATGTGGCCCTTATTATGGAAACTCGACTGACCAAAAAACAAACTTTAAAAATACCACAGTACATAACATACCATACTGACCATCCTGACGGTAGAGCACATGCACTGCAGTCATTGTACACCAATCCCTCTCTCACCACCTGCTCCCATTACCTACTCATGATTTCCTGCAATCCACATCTATCATAATCAAAACCTTCTCCTTTCCTATTACCCTTGCATCAGCGTATTGCCCTCCAAACCAATCCATCTCTAATACCCAATTCAGTTCCCTCCTCACTTCCTTAGGACACCATTTCATCCTGGGTGCAAATGCCAAGCATCAGCTATGGGGAACCACAAATTCTCGCAGCCGAACACCGCTGTCTGCACTCAATTCCCCACGTTTTAACCTCGTTCCCCCGAACCTACCTACTGGCCTACTGATCCTAACCGCAATCCCGATATCCGTGATTTCTTCATCCACAGTGGTTTAGGTTCCCTTAATTATTCCATTGCACGGGTCGATGAACTTTCCTTAGACCAGTCCATTAATATTCCAAGTATCACTAGCTCCTATTCCTAAACCTTCTCCACCGTCCTTTATCAGAGGTCCAGTCAACTGGAAACTCTTCCACCAAATCCTTTCCGAACAAATTGACCTCAGAGTAACCCTGAAAACCCCAGAAGACCTTGATAATGCCGTACACTCCTTTACCGCCACCATTCAACAAACAGTCTGGACTGCTTCCTCCCCTAATCATACTCCAATAATTCCTAAGAAAAATAAGTTACCTCAACACATCCTCGACAAACCAAACTTCGTAACAGATTGTTATGGCAATGCACCAGACATCCCACAGATCGCCGTTCCTATAATTATTACTCTAAACAAGTCATGCAAGAATTATCCAACTTCAAATCCCAATCCTTTAACTCTTACCTTGCCTCCCTCTCTGCTCATGACTCTTCCCTCTGGAATATCACCAAAAAAAATTGTAAAATCTTAAAATATTTCCTATCCCCTCCGTCGAGGTGATGGTTCCTGGGCGGCGTCTGATGAAGACAAAGCTGAGGAATTCGCTAAACAGCTCTCCTGTACATTTCCCATTGTACAGTTCCCATCCCATCCATACTGCAAAAGTAGAAAAATTCCTCTCCTCACCAATTACACTTTCCCTACCACCAAAAGCAGTTCATCCTTCTGAGGTCAAATATTTACAAAAATTATCTTCCCGCAAATATCCTGGATACGACCTTCTAATCCCACAGATCCTTCATCAAATACCACCCAAAGCGATCATGTTCCTCACATATATATATACAACTGCATCCTAAGAACTACCCATTTTCCTCTCTTATGGAAACATTCCACCATCGTCCTTTTCCTGTAACCAGCCAAACCTTCCAAAACACATCATCCTATAGACCAATCAGCCTACTCCCAATCCTTTCAAAAATCCTATTAAAAAGAATCCTACCCATAATAGAATCACAAAACATTCCTACCCATCAATTCGGATTTCGTTTCCAGCATTCCATCGTTCAACAAGGACTCTGAATTGTTGATCACATATCCTCAGCCTTAGAAAGCAAAGAGTATTGCTCGGGGGCCTTCCTGGACATAGAGCAAGCTTTCAACCGCTTATGGCACACCGGACTACTCTTCAAGCTCAAAACCCACCAATCCCAGTCCTTATATCTAATACTCCAATCCTACCTCTCTCACCGCTCCTTTCGAGTTCGGTGTGGTACAGAATTCTCCAACTGCCATCCAATTGAGGCGGGAGTTCCTCTAGGCAGCGTCTTGGGGTCCCGTCCTCTACATTCTGTTTACACAGAATAGGATGACACAGCCATCCTATCTTCCAATCCAGATCCTAAAACAGCATCCTTAAACCTACAAAGTCACCTTTCTCTTATTGAATATTGGTGTAATAAGTGGTGCATCCAAGTAAATGAATCCAAATCCAAACACATCGCTCTTACCCTTCAGTGCAAGTCCTGTCCACTAGTCTATTTTAAATCCATACCATTTCCTCTCTCAGACACAGTCCGGCATCTTAGCTTTCTTCTAGATAAAAGACTAACGTGGAACCCATATACCAGACTTAAAAGACAAAAACATAACAGACGATATGGACAGCTATATAGACTAATAAATAGAAAATCTCAACTTTCATTCCACAACAAACTACTAATCTACAAGACAATCCTGAAACCTAACTGGACCTATGGACTAGAGCTATGGGGGATAGCAAAACCTTCTAACATTAAACGCATTCAATCCTTTCAGTCTAAAGTCCTCCGAATAATAGTCGATGCTCCCTTCTATGTAACCAATAAAACCCTCCATAATGACCTTCATCTCCCATTTGTTATTGACCTAATCCCAGATAAATTTTCCAAATTTCACCAGAACCTCACTCATCATCCAAATCCTGTAGCACAATCCCTATCTAGCTCCAGCCATCCCTACAATCCTCTCTGGAGGTTAAAACGGCAGTGGCCCTGCGACCTTTTGTAAATATGTATATATTGGAGTACTGGCAATGGCCAGATTCTCCACTCAAGTCCTGAGCGTCTGTTGCTCTAGTGCCCTCTATAAGTCTCCACTGGCTTGCAATACCAGTGATGCGGCTGGGGGAGAAGCACTGGGATCTTCTGGGGTCTTGCTTTGGCTTCCATATTTGGGAGACAAAGCATGACTCGGAATCCCCTGGGCGAATGTAAATATTGTGTATAGGTGCGAATGTATTTTAATTTCATTTAGTTTCTCTCTAAATTTTTTTTTTCCCATTTTTTTTTTTACATATATATGTTAATTTTCTTATTTTACTTTCTACTACTCTTTTTCTTTTATCTCTATTTTAGAAATCATTTGTATGTATATATTGTGTGAATGTTTAATGTAGCCCTAATATTAATGTCCTCCAATGCAGCAGAATGTATTAATTTTCAAATTAAAAAAAAAAATTATATCAATCGATTTATTTTTTTGTGCACAAAGAAAAAAATATTGACTATTTTATTAAATGAGTTATAACGAAATGAAAATATTTTTTTATTATGCTGTGACTGTTGTCCCTTTAGGACAAATTATAGTTACAGAAGAAAAGTCTGTGTGGCCATACATTAAATTATATATTTACAAATCTCATTAAAGTTAAAATATTGGAAGAAGAGAAAAACAAAAACCAAAATCTGGTGTGTCCACTCAAACGGCTTTCCTACCCATTTCAGAAAAGTTTTTATATCTTTACATATGTACAGACATACAGACCAATGGCTAAAAATGTGTTTTTCAGACTCAGGGAGCTCTGAAACGTATAGATCCGTCGAAAACCGCATATTGGAAATTTGAACCGATCGCAATACTTTCCTTACCTAGTATAGGTAGGAAAGTAAAAAAAATACTAAAAACTTACTGATATATATAAAACAAACATGGGAAAATAAAATAACATTTGTGAATAAAATCATTTCTGGGTGAACTTAAAAATTTCTTATCTACATTTTGTGATCAATCGGGTAGGGAAAGGAATAGGTGCTTAAAAAAGTAAGATTTAAATGAGGAAACTGATTGTGAATGTTGGATATCAGGAGGGATGGTATTCCAGAAGGAGACCGCTTGAATTGTAAAGGATTTGTCAAACGCAGTAGTTCGGTGAGGAGTTGGATAGAGGTCGGAAGTACAGAATCTAGTGGGTTGGGATTGAATGGAATATTTAAATTTTAGACTGTGAAAAATATAGGAAGGCCGCTGAGTTCTGATGGCTTAGTATAGAAAGGTAAAATAATGCATCATAAATTACAAAAAACAAATGGAGCTTCCAGTAAAGTAGACCGATTGAATTTTTGTTAGAAAAAAGCAAGTTAGATTTGTTGGAAGGGTCCTTTAAAACTCTTAAATATGAATTTTTATATAGACAAAAAATATAACCTTTAGTACTTGATTTTCTTGGATGATTTTCTTTTCTGGCAGTCAACTAAAACATTCATAACTCCTCTGGATTTTCTTCAAATTCAACTTTAATATAACCATTGGAATGCTGAATTACTGCTCTTCTAATCGACATCAATAACTTTTGGATTCCTTCCTTCTTAAGCTAGAAATAAGGAAAAATTTCTAACCCATTTTTATTTTATATCTTTGGTTCTTATTTGTTGACAAAGATGAGGTTTATACCATTTCGTGTAGCATACAGAGCCCTAAATCAGTAATATTTTTCGTGAGGATCAGTGTAACCGTTCTAAAGTTATAACAATTTTTGTGGTTGTCGACAAAATTTCTAAGGCAATTTTAGGCAAAACTTTTGTGTAGAAAATTTTAAGTTTTCTATTGCTATAAAAATTTGTATTTGTATTTGGGTTTTTTGAGGTGCAAAAAACGAATGTAAAATTTGTTTCTCCATAAACAAAAAATATTGACTCTAGATACCAGACCGATTTTGAATAAATATAATATTTGGCAGATAGTTACAATATGGGCATTATTTGAACCGACATGACAATATGGGAGTAAATATTTTTTTAGGGTGAAACAAAGTTTATATTCATTTTTCTTACTTCGAAAAAACCGATAAATTCGGTGACCCACTAGACTGTAGTCTCTCCTTGTCCGATCATCATGGTTTTAACCTTTGCAATACACTCATATTATTTGCTGTGAGCATAAGTACAATTATTTGTTTCTGGGATATATTTGTTAAGGTGGTTCTATTTTATTTTTTCAAATTGACTTTAATTTATTTTGATTTGTTTTTTAATATGAGAAATGGCTAATTTAGGATTAGTGGCCCATAAACTTTCTGATTCTACAAATTAGTTTATTATTATCAGTAGAAAGTATGCTGTAAAGAGGTAACAAATATATTGCAGCTAAAGTTTCTACCCATTACTTATTTGATATATTATTGGAATCCGATGAAGTAATATTTTCATATTATGATACCGAAATACTTGAATACCTTCAATGCTCGAACCATGCCCTGAAGATGACCCACATGTTTCGGTTGAAACGTCGGCACTAATAAAAACTTTATAATGACTGTGTCCTCAATATTTATCACCCATGATAATTTTTAATTATATAAAATATTAATAAACTGTTTAAATACTTTTTGGTCTGTTCTAGAAAACAACAGCCTATGTGGTATCTAGGTAATAAGCATAGAGAATCAACCTTTGGATCTGCTTTAAAATTCCCTGTTCATAAATTTGGTATCTACAGTAAAAAGTTGAAACAGCTATCTATTCAAAAAGCATCTGGTTGTGAATTGTTGCATTTTTCAGATACCATTGCTAGAATTTTGTACAAGGTTGACACTATGAAAATAAATGATAATTTAGATATAAACAATGATGCTGGGAACGAAGGTTGTAAAGAAAAGGTATTATTATAAATTAAACAATATTAATCTATCTATCATTGTTTTACTTGAATAAGTTTTATCCATATCCCAATTGCTTCCTGTTTTTTATATTTTTCACTGCAAACTGAAATTAACCAAAATTTAAATCATATAATAGCTTATAAATAATTAAATTATAAGGGAGATTAAAGTAATACACAGATATTGATAAAAATAAAATAGTACATATACAAGTTATATAATATTTAAGTTATATAATACATATATAACTTAAATATTGGCTTCAGCCCAAGGTATCTCAGTCGGTTAAAGGGGTTTTGCAGATGTTGGACGTGTTGATTGTCGTCTTTACTGAATATTAGTAGGTCTTCCATGTATATTTCGCAGAATGACTCATCTACTTCTCATAGAAACTCATCCATGAGCCTTTGGAAGATACAAGGCTCATTCTTCTTACTAAATGGCATCCTTGTTTACTCAAAGTGGCCCCTCTCAAAAGCAAATGCCTTTTTGTGCTGGCCCCTGGGATGCATCTTTATCTGGTTGTACCTAGCCTTCAAACCTAATGTACTAAACACTTTTGCTCTACTCAACTGATCTATATGTCTTCGAAACTTGGTATCGGATATTTCTTGCCCACAGTGTTTTTGTTTAACTTCCTGTAGTCCACTACAACTCGGTACTTCTCCTGATTTTCCCCTTCTGCACTCTTTTTCTTAACTTTCCTTAGAGAACTGTTATGTGGATATGTACCGTCTAATATAATGCCTTGCTGCCTTTTCAGATTTTCCAGTTCTTCCTTTATATGTTGCCGCTGCGCTTGTGGATACCTCTTTACCTTGACACAATTTACCCTATCTCGTTTCAGCATAGTTTCATGGACGGACCATTTCTCCTCCTCCTCCCCCCCCCCCTAAGGTGACTAACTTGCATTCCCATACCTGTTTTTGGGAGATCCTCTCTTTCACATTACAACACTTTATTGTGTTTTAGCTGCCAGTGTCCACCAGACCATCCTTCTGATAATGGACTACTCGCCACGCTCACTCTCTTATGTTTTTCACTACTGCCTGATTGCCCCTCTACTTGCACTCCCCTTATTCTTCATGTCGTGCTCTCCTTGTTGCTGCCGTTCTGTGTCCTCTGTCATTCCTTCCTCCTCCATGGCCTCTGTTCTCTGGTATGTTTATTTCTCCTTCTGTTTCTGAGGCTTCCATAGACTAGGTCGACTCGGATGGTGATCTGCCCCTTCTCCAAATCTCAGTGTGAATTTTTATGGATCCTGAATTCGAAACACCTTGTCCTTCAAGGGCATTGTGAATGAATGAATGAATGAACATAATTTTATTATTCTGGGACTAGTGTCGCTTTAGAACAAATTATAAATACAGAATATATATTAACATCCTGGTGTGTTCATAAAATACAATTTAATATTTACAGGATGATTAGTAATAAAATAAAAGTACAGATAATGAAAAGATATAAAAACGTACATAAATATAAAATAAACAGAGAAAGTAAAATAAATAAACAAAATATCAATAAATCACAAAATAATCAAAGCATCTAGGGGTACTTTGAGATTCTTACGACTTTGATTTTTAAGTGCATTTCATGATCAACTGGATTGGGAATGTAGTAGGTGTTGGAAGAGGAGAGATTTGAAAGAGGATACTGACTTTGTGTGTCGAATATCCGAAGGAGTAGAATTCCAGAGGAAAACAGCTGAAATTAAAAAGGATTTGTTAAATGCAGCTCAGTGAGGAGGAGGATAGAGGTCGGACATTCGGGATCTGGTGGGACGGGATTAAAAGGAGCATTTGAATTGTAGGATCTGTAGAATATAGGAGGGTCACTAATAGCATGGTATAGAAAGGTAGCAAGGAAATACTGACGGTGGTTGGACGGATAAAGCTACTTCAACTCTGTGTAAAACTGATAATATGCGCATATCCCTTGGGATCCTGAAGATAAAGCGTGTTGAACAATTCATTAGACATTGTGATACCAAATGTTCCAGCTCCCCGAACCCATGGCACTTCCTCTCTTTCTTTTTCCAATTTCTCCTTTTGTTTCCATTTGTTTCCATACCCTTTGTTGGAAACAGTAGAAATAATGATCAAGGAGGCTGCAGCGAGATGCTTCATTAATCACATATGTTTTAATTAAAACATATAATATAATGGATAAAAGTTTTGTTATTGCAACACAGTTAAATTGTGCTTTGTGCTTATAAAAATAATATTGTTAATAAAAGAATATCAATGCTGTGTATTTGCTTTGTTCTTTTATTTTCGTGCGTGCAAGTAACACTCTCTTTCTCCTGCTATCACTCTCTTCTGTCAACTTCCGTCTTTCTTCTTCTCCAATCAACAGGCTTGGGTTTGGTCCTCCTATAGCTTACTCTGCTCCACTTGATCTCTTCTTCCACTTCATTCCTGGCATCTAGCATTTCAGGGGAACATTCTACGAATGTCTTCTCTCTCTGTTGCCCCTTCTTTCATCTTGTGTCTCTGACGAGCTGGACTTCCAGGATTATCGATAGGAATACCATCCCAGCCTCTACCTCTGCTCCGTCTACGGTCTCTCAAATTTTCTGTTATCGTGTTGTATCGGGCTAATAGTATGCCCGCATATTGCATATTCGTCTGATGGGACTGTCTCTTCTCCCAGAACATCCGCAACAAGTCCTCCTCTGGCGAAGACTAGCCGCCTCCGAAAACCTTCTTCAACCTGTCTTTTACAACTGCTCATGGTTGTCTCTTTATCTGCTTGGTCTCGTTATCAGGTTCAACACACTCTGCTTGACCCAGCATACTAAAGCCGCTTTCATCATGTCTTTAGTGTATGTATTTCAATGTTTCTTTGGTAGTATAACGTGTTGCCCGAGTTTATCAAATTTACTGTCATCTAGGCTTCTATTTGTGCCATTAGCCAATTGCCTCCCTTGAGAAAATGGTTCAACTCTCCCATCTTCCCATCAAATCTCTCTAGGTCCAAAATTGCCGTCCATAGGTCCTGGGATGTTGCCATATTTAATTTCAACCGTTTGAGGGCATTGGTATGGACTGCAGCCAGAGTTTCCTGATGTTAGTGGTATGATTTACGACATTAAAGTCAACACAGCTGCTCGTAACCATCCTTTCAGCATCTTTATTTACAAAGAAAAGTGGAAAAAGAGAAGAGAAAAAAATAGATTTAGAAAAGTAATAAATAAAACTATTTGAGATACCAGGTTTCGGCACCACTTATGTTTGCGTAGCAGAACAAAATAAAAAAGAAAGAAAGATAGGGAAGAACTAATTCATTCATTGTGATTTTCTTTTAATATGTGTTTTTTTTTTAAATGTGTTTAATGAAATGAAATGAAAAATAATTTTATTCTGGGACTACAGTCTCCTAAGAATAATAAAAAAATTGCATAATTAATTTTTGATTGTTATTGTGCAGTTGATTGAATTAAATAATACAGACTCAAGTAGATTTTACATGTTTGTGGAAGTTTTAATATGGAGTAGATGGTGGAACAGGAGTTGTTAAAAGGAATTTGTGGACGAGGATTCACTTATGGAGTTAGGTAGAGAGTTCCAAAAGAAGGTAGCACGAATGACAAAGGATTTGCTGAAGGAAGCAGTTTTATGGGAGGGGATATATAAATCTATAGGTTGAGAACTGGTATTGAGAGAGTGGATAGAGGAATGCCAGAGTAAAGAGTTCCAGGATTCACAGTGGGCCGAGTAATGGAAAACCTGCGGTATAAGCATAAAAAAAAAAAAATATATATATATATATATATATATAAACTGTTGATTGATTGATACCTTAGGCAGTTTTGTAAAATTGCTTGGTTTGAGCTGATTCTTGATAATTTTTTCTTGAAATTTCATACACTTTTTACTGTCATTCTGCTTAATCAAAAAAAAAATATAGTCATTTCTGAAACTTGTTTTACTTTGAATCTTTTTTCTATTTTTTATTAACAAAAATAGGTGTTTTGAATAAAAATTTTACAAATACTGCAATTTAAAAAAAAACCTCTAATATCCTCCAGAAAATTGATTTCTTACAACTTTTTAGCAGCCATTGTTAAAGATAAATTCATATTAATTTAAACCATCATGGTCCGCCCGAAGGTAGTTAAAATTATTTTTGTATGTAGAAATGTTCGAACAATTTCTAGGTGTGTACTAATATCTCCTATAACTAGATATGCTCTCAAATTTAGTTTTAAGAATTGTATTGTTTTTAGAAAATAAGGTTCTGTAGTTATTTGTTTCGAAAAATATCTCAATCCAAAACAATAAAAAAAAATTTTACATTAAATATTAAATCTTCATTTTCATTGTTTTAAATTTTAATTTTGTCTACCTAGATGAGAATTAAACTTTTATAGTATACTTTTAACTGTATAATACTTTAATCTTTAAAATTAATGAAAAATTATATATTTTTTTCATCAGAAAATGTGAGGAAGTATCGATGGTGTTTAAAATATCATTATCGATGGTTTTTACTTTTTTTTTTTTAATAAAAATAAAATAAAATTTTTATTATTTCATGAGTACTATTATAAAATGAATATTTATAATCAATAAACGATTCACTTTTTAAGTTATTAAATATGCATACTTTATAATTACATTTTGTGATTTATTGTTTTTAAAATAAAAAAAATATATATTAAAATAACGGTTATATGTAGTAATAAAGACAGTAGTTATAAATAGGAATCTAAAATTATGCGTTTTATGAGGTCTCTGCTATTTTTTAAGTTATTTTATTGTCAAATTTAAAATTTCCCAGGTTTAAAAAATGAAACCGGTGTTTTTTTTTGTTTTCATGGACATTTTCTAATTTTGACGTCATATTCGCGTTCTTTGACTTTGAAAACATAAGTGTACTAAATATCAAGTTAATCCGACATTATACATCATGTCCACGAAAACCCATCGTACTCCCCATGTGAAATGTAGGAAGGGATTTTGGTTGTGAGGACTTGGAAAAGAAAAACACCAAGGAGGAATTGTCATTGGGAAGTAGGATAAAGCCACTTCAACTCGGTATACCAGAATGTATCATGGGAACTCTTGGGGATTCCAAAGATGTATCATGAATCAGTTCATGAAAATTTCTTTAATCCAATTTCTAGCCTGCCAGATAACCCTCTATGCACCAAACAGCCATAGTCGAAGTGGGGGAATATAAGTGAGGTTACAAAGAGCTGTCTGGTTTGTAGAGGAATACAATCAAGGAATCTTAGAAGTTGTTTTAGGACAGTTATGGATTTTCAGGTAATCTGGGAGATATGGTTGTTCCAGGAGAGATTCTGGTCAAATGTTACTCCTAGGTTTTTGACTGTAGGGAAAAAATGGATGGGGCGGTTATTAAGGTAAAGTAGAGGAAAGTAAGGAAGGGAACTAATGAGATGGCTGGACCTGATGAGGATAGTCTTAGTTTTATCGGCATTCAGCTTTAACACATTTATTTCAGCCCATCTGTTGATGCAGTCAATATCCTCTTGTAGCTTCTGGGTAGCCTCAGTCATCTCAGAAGGTTGGATTGATTGGTAAATTTGGAAATCATCAACATATAGGTGGTAACAGGAGTGTTGAATGGCATCAGGAAGGTTTATGGATGATCAATACTTCATCTTGATTACACTGTTTGGTTGCATACTATCCTGCATATCATTATTCTGTTGATGGCATATTATCGTACTTTTTAAGGCATATTTCAATGGTATTGGTTGCATATAAATTCAACCTTTAAGAATAATTAATCATATGTGTAAGTGAAAAATTGTCAGCTCTCGTATAATATTCAAGAGTTGAAGGAATAGAAAGGAGTGGAAGTGAAAGTTCAACCTCCAGCTAAATATAGTGTCTAATTGGCTCACTTAATACTCCAAAACATTTCCTAGAAGGTCAATTTCTATATGAAAACTTAAATATTTGTTCAGCTCTATAACTATTAAATGTTTCATATCATTGTTTACATAATCTTATTAGGCTAAAATAAATTGGAAACTTTGAAGAGGGGTGTAGGATTGACTATGCAGTGAGATTTCCAATCATCACCTAAGAGCTGATAACAAAGGAAGAATTATTTTGCTGGTAATTAAGCTTAATCTGAAGTGTAGAGAGGCATGGCTATGATCTTGATTTGCTACTTAAGAGATCTCTGAGACAAGAAAGATATTACTTGGTCTCAATCCTATAAACTAATACCCCATGGCAGAGATGTGAAGTTGCTGGGGAGACCTGCCATCTTATCTGTAGCATGTAGTCATTGGTACTGATTTATTAAATCATTTAATACCCTTGATGCCACATATTGTAAATTATATGTGACTTTTCCTTATATTATACTTATTTGCTGTTGACAATAAATTATAATGACTAGACATTTACTTAAGAATGTATAAATCAGCAAAAAACAGAAGGGCTATGTTAGTTTTTAAGCATGATACTCATTTATTCATATGTTGGTTTTCTTACAACAGATTTTTTGATAATTCATACAATAGTTTCTAATTAAAATATTTTAGAAAAAAATCCTCTGCATGATAACCAGAGTGATCTGGGATCAGAGTACTAACTCATAAAGGAGATAGACCAAAAAGATATGAATGCAAGGAGGTCAAGATGGCCATAGCATGTAGCTTGCAGCAATCCATCTGGAAGCCTCTACATGACAATGAATGCTTCATTAGTAGGCAAAAGACCATGTGAAAGTCCAAAAAGCATATGGATAATTGGAATCAACAAATATACAATAGAGCTCCATGCATATAACTGGAAAGAAATTACCTAGGACAGGCAGAGATGGAATAGGCTTGTTAAAGTGGCAAAAGATCTACTAGGTCTGTTATCTCAACAGAAAAAAAAATTGTATATTAGATGAAGAATGGTGATAAAAACAGCAAAAGATCTAAAAGGTCTATAGTGCCAACAAAAAAAAAATAATAAAAAAATCTTCTAATTTCTTTAAAATATAAAAGTAAAAGGCAAATACTAGTTGTAAAACTGCCTTTATATAACATTTTGTTTTGATTAGTTGAAGTCAAAAGTTTAGATATATATTTCTCCAGCTTAATTTTTAAAGATTTGCTATTTTGAAAAAATAGATATTCATGTATAAAGATTGTTTTAATGTGACTCAAGAATATTTTTTGATATGATATTTAGAATTTTTATATTAAAAGTTTAATGAATGACTTTATCACTACTTGTACTGATTCTAATTTTTGTTTCAATTTATTTTATTTTTATATAATTAAGATTTCTGCTAAACCGTCTACATCTGGTGTAAAGCAATTCAGAAGCCGAAGTGCTACCCTTACACAAGGAGATCATTTAAATCAAATTAAAGCTTTAAGAAGAAAACCTCGTATGTCACTTAGTAACTCAAGGTAACTAACCAATTATATTTGTACTAAATATTAATGGTCTTTTAATTGTTTTTAATTAATATATTTCATTTTTAGCTTACCTAAAAACATTCGTACAAAAGAAAATATAGATACACAGAGAGATGCTTCTTTGAAAGTTTCTAAGATTGTTGATAAAAGTTCCAATTCTCTTTTGCCTAAGAAGTCTCGTTCTGTTATTACAAGAAGGTAGTAAGTATATATTGCTGTTGACTAACCTAAAAGTAAGATGTTATTTACTAAACCTTGATATTTCTTCATTAACCCAAATATATTAATTTATTGTTATATATTCTATAAGCACCCATCAAATAACATTACATTTAATTTTGTGTTATCATTTTCTTTATAAATAGAATAATTGAAGAGAAGGATGGTTAGGGTGATCAGTCAAAATAAAATAGTAAAAATAAATAATTGTATTTATTTTTGCATTCACCGACGTTTCGTCCCGAAGTTCAGGCCTTCATCAGACAGACTTATTGTAGAATAGAATAATTAGATAAATAAATAAATAGAATAGTTAGAGTAAATATTTGATCAAATATTACATTTTTGGTTTTCTGTTTTTGTCCACAAAATATCAATAAAATTATTTGCTAAGAAGATATTTCTCCTGATTATTGAAGGATTTTTTATATATTTAGTTTAATTAGGCTTTAAAATATTTTCAGGAGAATAATACTCTTATTACTCACTAAACCATAGTAGTGTTCTTGGCTCTTCTTTTTTATACTAATCACTAAGGCCCGGATCTAAAGATATTAATTTTCCAAGGAATAGATTGTAAAAAACAATTTTTAGCTCTTTAAAAGATTTTAAACCTTGAGCTTGAGAAGTAGCCTGGTACACTTACCTTGTTTATACACAAATACACACACACTCACACATATATATATATACTTACTATGAAGCTCTACATAGTCTACTGGGCCTTGGCTTCCTGGATTATCATCTATATTCTTCGTCCTATCCTTCCAGTTTCTCACACCTAGTGTTTTAAGGTCGCTCTCAACATCCTGTAGCCATCTTTTCCTTGGCCTTCCTTTCCTTCTTGTGCCATAAATTGTAGAGAACAATGCCCTAGAAGGCATTATTCTGTTGCTGTCCATTCTAGCCACGTTGCCTAACCAATCTATGCGCCTAGTCTTAACAAAATGAACTATGTTGCCACTAATTATATAGTTCATATAGCTTCGAATTTTTTCAATACCTCCACACACATTCTTCACAAACAGCTCCATAAATTCTTCTCAATATTTTTCTTTCAAAAAATTTCAGCTTACTAATTGTACTTGAACAAAGAGTCCATGTCGCCACTGCATAAGTCGCAATAGGTCTTATCTTTGTTTCGCGTGACAGGAGCGATGATCAAAAAAATCTTTAGCTGGCATAGTATGCCCGGTTTCCAGCCATGATCTTGCTTATCTCATCAGTAATTTTATTTTGAGAATTCACTTCTACTCCCAGGTACGTAAATGTTTTGACACACTCAAAGGTGAGACCACATATTTCAATGTTCTGAGGACCACCCTCATTGTTGGCCCTGAACATACATGTATTTTATCTTCTCTTGATTAATTTCCAGCCCAACATTTTCACTTTCGGCTTTCAATATTACAAATATTTCCTTTATTGACCTCAAATTCCTGATAATTAGGCATATATCGTCTGCGTAAGTGCATATTTGCACCATTGCGTTAAGTATGCAACCAGGTGATTCCAATTTTTTCTAAACATTATTAAGTGAAATATTGGATAATGTAGCAGACAAAGCATCCCCTTGCCTGACCCCAGCTGTAATTGGAAAGTTATTGCTTAGTTATTTCCATTAATAATTACTTTTTTATAATTGGTAATTGGTTGACTGTCGTGGATAATGAAGAGAAGAATAGTTGGGGTGTTCAGTCAAAAAGGAAGGCAAAAATAAATTATAATATTTATTTTTTACATATGCCGACGTTTCGACCTGAAGTTCAGGCCTTCATCAGGGCTAAGAAAATAAACAGATAACAAAGTATGAGAAACATAAGTAATGATGGTAAAAGATAATAAAAAAAAAAAAAAATTTTAAATAAAAAAAATTATTAGAAAAATAAAATAGATAAATATAAAGTAAAATGAAATTGTTAGAATAATGACTAAGAACTAAGAGATAAATAATAAAAACTGTTACAAAGTGTGGAATGATGAAGTAGGCATAATCAAAAAGGGGTGACAAAAGTGTTACAATGGGAATCTTAGAATAAAATTTAAAACATAAAAAAGAAATATAAAGTTATATAAGAAATGAAAATAAATAGTAAAATTAAAACATTGAGAATGGAGTAGTTAGATAAAAGATTGAGATATTGCTATTATTCATTATCATTTGCAATAACCTTATTAATTTTTGTGAGATTTGGAACTCATATAAGGCATTTATTAATTTGCTTCTTAATACTATCGAAAGCTTGCCGGTAATCTATGAACAACATATGCAGGTCAATCTTATTCCCAGGCTTTTTGCATTAGCTGCCTGATTACAAAAACTTTGTCAGTTGTTCCTCTTCCCTTCCTAAATCCACACTGGTATTCCTCCAGTATGTTCTCAGCAAATACGTTGAGCCTCACAGAGAGGATACTTGAAAATATTTTATAGGCTATAGCCAATAGGGAAATTTCTCTGTAATTCTCGCATTGGAGTTTATCTCCTTTTTTATATATCGGGCATATCATAATTTTGCACTTTTCCAGAGGCATGATTTCATTACTCCAAATATCCTCCTACAGTAAATGTATTTGGCTTATCAATTCTTCTCCGTATTTAAAGAATTCTGCAACCAGCATATCTTCCCCAGGTGCTTTGTTATTTTTTAATTTTCCAATCGCCTCAGCCACTTCTTCTGTCGACAATGGCTCCAGATCAATACACCCTTTCTCATCACTGCCAGCCATACATTCATTACCATTACAGTTAAGCAATTCTGTGTAGTGATCTTCCCATCTATTATATACATATAATTATATAAATATATATATATATATATATATATATATATATATATATATATATATATATATATATATATATATATTTCTGATATTATTAGAAATGAATTAAATAAATAAAAATATTGAATTATACTTTTTATATGTTATTGTAAATTTTATGGACACTGAGATTAACTGGTTCGTGGAATGTGAATTGCTAAGGATTGAATAAATGACATTGATACATCAAATATTCTATTTAATATTTTGTTCTAGGAAATCTTTGTCGTGTTCCATTGTTTGTTAGGTAAATTTAATGTATGGCCATACTGTCATGTTTTATTTATTTTGTATTTATAATTTGTTGTATAGGGCCATCAGTCGCAGGTTAATAAAATTATATTTCATTTCATTTACAATTTAAATACACAAACCAAAATCTAATATGTAAAATTTAAAAAAATCTTTTTCTGTCCAATTTAAATTTCCTTCCTATTTATAAGATTCATGACTTTTTATTTGTATATATTTGAACCAGGATTTTTAATTTCAATCAGTTAAAAAAAAAGGTTTTTGCCTGAATAATCATAAGATTTGAGAACGTTTGTTACTGTTTTTTTTTCCCCATAAAAAGTTCTTTTTTAATTTAAACAATGTTTTTTAAGATGAAAAGAATCGAATTTTCCATCTCTATTCAGCACTAAAGATGAGGAATGCTTATGAAGATCTATCACCTCATGTGTACATGTGAATCTAGAAAATGACATTCAAGACATTCTTGCTCAAGGCAATTTCCTATCTCATGTAGGAAACAAATTGGGGTTCATATCTCTTTTGAAATCTACTTGCTAGATATATTTATATTGATAGGATGCCTGCAAGGAGATCGAGATACTGATTTGCTGATTGTGTCAACTACAATATTAAAAGCACAAGAAAAATAAGGGCTAGATTAATCGGTGAACTCAAATATTTGTTGGTATTACTTTTTATTACAAAAAGGCTCCTCCAGACAGCCGTATAACCATGGTTGTTCCTGGGAAAAGAAATGAACACGATAAATGCTCAACATTTCAGTGATCCAACATGACCTTGCAGAAATAAAAGATGTTCTATTTACACTGTATGCTTTTACTGGAATAGACACGGTTTCCTCTATCTATTGAAAAGACCAAGATGCTGGTTTCAAGAAAGTTAAAGCCAACAGCACTTAAAGAAAAAAACTGTGATCTTTAATGATCCTGCTGCCTCCTCAAGTGATATTGCTGAAGCTGGCAAACTTTATATTGCGATTATATATGGCTCAACAGAACAATTTTCTTTGGGCAAGTTATGCTTCTAACTTTATGTGAAACAAATAGGTAAGTAATCGGTTCATGAGCAGTTCAATCTAGCTGTACTTCCCCCCACACCGGCTACAGTAAGAGAACATTCTCTGCATGTTTACCACCAGATGAAACTTATTTTTTTTTGTTGGATACCCCCCTACCCACAATATCTGGCCTACGGGGAGGGGGAATTGTTCTAGAGGTACAACCGAACCTATTCTAACCAGAGTGAGAGGGTTGAGTTTCATTCCGTGGGTCCGCCACAAAATAAAAGTCAACCACTCCCAGACCGGATTCGAACCGGCATCGCTAGGCAAGAGGATGCTAAAATGGGCAACGCTCCAACACATTTGGCCATCACGACCTCACCACCAGGTAAAACTGTTGTGTGGGGTCACACTTACATTGGGGGTTTGAAAAAATATCAAGATAACCTCCATCCAGTAACTACCAATAAGAGCCAGTTGCTCCAACAGTTGTTAACTTTAATTTTACTAATCTTGATTAGTTTAACTGGCTAACAGAATTTTCGATGCACCAATGTATATTAGTCTTAACACCACATTAAGTTAACACAACAAACTAATCCAACCTCAGACCTTGATCAAATCTTTAAACGATGTTAAAGTATAATCTTACATACAGTTACTTCTAACAACAAACTAATATTACCTTCTTCTGAGAATACTAGTGTAGTGTTGTTTTTTACATTTTTCAAGACGGCTACAAATATGATTTCATCTGAGGAACATTCTTCAGAAGAAAGTTTTCATCAGATGAAGACTTATTAAATTTTATCAATCTGCTTCCTAAAAAACAAATTGTACAGGATAAGAAATGATGTTATTGATTTTTATGATGAATTTGAATTTAAATGAAGATTTAGGT